TGGGATTTTAAATCTAGTCAGATTACCAGTGGAGATTGACTATCACGATTCTCACCGGTGCATTAGACTTCCTGTATCAGATATTAAAACAAATAGAGTGCTAGAGGTTTGTTTTCTATGTTAACAGGCTATTCTGGAACTAATGCTAGCTCTCAATTTAGTCATGTTTGATTTTATACATACCATATCTAATTGGAGAAGTGTATGCTGAAATTATTGCAGAAGACATAAATAGCTGTTGTAGGAATAGAAGTAAATTTTAAAATTTATATGGATCCTCATTACTTTATAATGAAGTTTTAAAATTGAAGTTGTTCAAAACCTGCCTAACAATATGAACAATGCCTTTTTTAAGGGGAGGGCTTAACTGTGTTGCCAGAGTGATCTCATTATCCTTGTCTCAAGTGATTCTCCTGAATAGCTGAAAGAATATTATCACATCTTGCCAGATTCTTTGCTATGTTTGTCTATTTTTTTATTTATTTACATATTTGGAGCCCTAGGTATTGAACCCAAGGCCTTGAGAGGTATCTATTAGCAGTTGTTGGTAGATTTAGACATGGCCGTGGTTAGATAACACAGATGCCATTGTTTTTCAGCCATTTTATTTCAGTTATTAGGCCCCGTATGCTTCAGGAAGATTGTTAACATCTTAATAGCCATTTTTTTCTGTAATTCACAACATTTCTGTCTCTGAAGGTAGTGGTTTGAATTGTTGTAGTGTTTTGGTAAGGTATCCAAATTAGATAAATGTTTCAACTTGATGACATGATAGAAACTTAAGTATAATCATCTTCTTAGCTTTTATAGTTTAAGTTCAATGTTATTTGAAAGCAGTGTATTTGACACCTTTGGTGTTAAATCTTTTTGAAATTGATGATGCCATAACTAAAATATTGAAAGTGATTTGGCTGAATTAATGCTGGCTCCAATTATCTCTTAATGGTATTAACAGCTTCAAAAAATCTAATGCACTTTTTTTCCTACTTTCACAGAGATACATTTGCAGTGTTTTTCAGTTAAAGATTGGTTGTCTATTTAGCATTCAAATTGCATAGAAATTTAAGAATTCATTTTGATGGCATTTTTTAAGGTCTAGTTTTTTGTTCTCATGTCTTAGTCTTACAGGTGCTGGAATTACAAGTGTGCACCACAATATTTGTCTCTTGGTGGATATTTTTAGAAAAAGTGCAAATATTTAAGAAACACTAGAGAAAAGTAAGTTGAAAATATACTGATGATTCCAGCTCTTGGGAAGCAGAGGCAGGAATATCATGAATTCAAGATCATTATGGAGTACATAGAAAATTCTAGACTGACCTGAGTTTCATAGTGAGATGCTATCTAAAAAAATAAAAGAAAGTTAATTGCATATTGTTTGTGGTGGCACACATGTAATGTTGGTATCTGAGAGGCAGAGGCAGCAGGATTTATTTGAATTTGAAACCAGTCTGGGATACATATGGAGTATGTGACCATTTATACTATATAACAAGAGTCTGTGTCACAATCCCCATCCACCCCACACAAAGAAAATGCAGGTTGATTTTTCAGAAATTATTCTGGGTAAACAGTATTCTATGTATACTGTGCAAGTTATATTGACTGGAGACTGATAACTTTTTCTATAGGGGTCAGATAACTCTAGGCCACATATAACATTCTGCACCTTTTGGAAAATTTGGTCATATGAAGATGGACAAAATTTGACACATGGGCCACAGTTTAGATGAAGGGCTTTACTATGTGCTCTCTAACATTTATACTAATTTTGATAAAAAATCAGAGTTAAGGAGCAAATTTTTAAAATGATCACATTTTGAAATAACTGCCATTCAAAGAGTGATTTGTAAGAAATACGTGTTATTTCAAAAAGTCTTATTGCTAACCTAAACTGTAATTAAAAAATATTTTGGATAAGCTAGATTCTGTTAGCTTTTAAAATAGAAAATTTGGGGCCCATATAGGTGAATCTGGTTAAGAAACTGTTTAACTCTTGTCGAAGACAGGGGTTTGATTCCCAGTACCTGTATTAGGTGACTGATCTGATTGGATCTCCTCTTCTGGACTCTGGACACCTGAACTCAAACTTGTACATATGTTCTCACAATATATATACAATTTAAAATTAGTCTTCCTAGGATTAAGAGTCAGAAATGATAGCAAAATGATTTGCTGGAAATTATATAGTTAATTGCTAGAGAAACTTAGACATTTCAAGTCAGAAAATATGGCAGTTACTATGGGACTGGGTTTATAAGTTTAATTCATTCAGATTCCATATCTAGTCATTCCTTTCCACAAATATTTATTTGTGGCCTATTTCTTGGTAATGTTCTATGTTTTAGAGCAATAGGGTAATAAGATATGATCTGTCTAGAACTTATGAAATGAGATGCTTAACAAGATACTGTTTCTTTCCTTTCATATTAGCTCAGAGCAGTTGAAACTCACTGTTTGCCCTTGAATTCACAGTAAACATGTCTCAACATCAAGTGTGCTAATTTTGCTAGTATGGGCCACCATCCCGCTTAATTAGTGTTTGTTGATAGAAAATATGGCAGCTATTATGAGACTGATCTTAGTCTCTGTAGAGGCAAAAGGAAAAGGTATGAATTTGACTTGAGGCAGATAAACTGACATGCAAAGCTTAGGTAACTAAAGTAGTAAAGATTCTAAAGACCATATACATCTTTAATTTGTTTTTGTGTATTGAGTATATTTTATCAGCTAATTCATTTCATAGCAAAGCCTCATAATTGATTTTAAGCACCTGACTAAGGAACTAACTTGGAGGTTGTATGTATTTGTTTGGTGTCCTTAGATTCTCTTTTTAGATTTTTCAGATAAGCTTTTCAGATTGATTTGAAACAAAAATAGTTCTGTTTTTGGTTTCTCTCATTTTTTAAATAATTTATTTTTTACTTTTAAAGCTCACCCCAAAGCATTGACCATGCTGTGTGTTTCAAAGAACCAAGATTTAGGGATAGGAACATAGTATCATTAGAAATCTGAAAAAATATAGGCAGTTACTTAAGGATTTTAGGTACTTCTTCTAGCTTCCTACATTAATCTTGACTATGGAAGATTGAAGATTTAAGTGTGGGCCAGCAAGATTTTGCAGCAGGTAAAGATGCTTGCCTCCAGGCCTGATGACCTGAGCTCTGTCCCCAAGACCTATGTAGTAAAAGGAGAGAACTTCTTACAAGTTGTCCTAAGACTTACAAATGTTAGCTGTTATGGCATTAACCTTGTTAATTTGGTGTAATAAAAATTACAAAAAGATACATATCTACTGGAGAAGTGATTGTAACTATTAATAAACCGTTCATCACTATGCATGCTAGCTTCTGGTAACTACTAGTTTTATACTTTTGTAGGATCAGCTTTACAAACCTGCACAGAGACTGAATTCATTATTTTTCGCTTGTTTGGTTTTGAGACAGGGTATCAGTATGTATCCCTGTCTGGCTTGGGTCTTTCTATGTAGACTAAGTTAGCTTTGAATTAATAGAGAGCCACCTGCCTCTGCTACTGTTTTATCTTCTATCTATATGAATTTGGCTTGTTTGACACTGAATCATAAAGTATTTGTCTTTTTGTTAGTCTCTTATTTCACTCAAAGTAATCTCTTTAGGGTTCATTCATTTTGTAGTATGTGTCAGGATTTTTTCCTTTTTAAGGGTGAATAGAATTTCATTGTGTACATATACTACACTGTAAATCCTGGTATATGCTTAGGTTGCTTCTATTTTCTTCCCATTGTGAATACTGCTGCTGTGACAATGAAGTACCCAAAGATGGTTTTGAGATTCTGCTTTCAATTCTTTTGGTTTCACAAACAGAAGTACAATTATGTATAATATGCTAATTCTGCTTTTTTTGAGGAACAGCCATATTTTTATGGCAGCTATGTTGTTTTTACATAGTTATTAGCACTACACAAAGCTTCCAGTTTATTCACATCTATAGCTATGGTGTACTTGTCTTTTTACAAAGAAAATTCTAGAATATATTCTGAGGTCTGCTGTAAATTGAACTTGTATTTTTGTGATTTTTCTAAATAATTTGTCTTTCAACAAATAACTTAATATATCAAAAGTAGCAATGTGGTGATAATGATCTCACTTTGTAGACCATTCTAGACTGGAATTTGCTGTGTCGCACAAGGCTGTCTTCAGAGCCATAGCAGTCCTCCTGCCTCAGATTCTTTAGCATTTCTGACTATGAAAGGAATATGAAATTACGTGTTCTATACTCTGCTTAGTAAGTTAGTGACTTTTATTTTTAAGAAAACAGCATTAAAGGACAGCATAACTCCTCAGACTTAACTATCATGCAAATGTTTTGATATTTTAGCTCTGTTTTTCCTAGGTTACTTAGTAAAATGTAATTTATAATTTCTTATCTACAATATCTATGAGTTTAGTAAAGATATTTTGAAAGTATTAAACCTGTAAAAAGATTCCCTAGAAAGTCTTTTAGTAAGGAATTTTAATCCTAGACACTTTTGAACAGTAATATTGATTGTAATAACTATCTGTCTCTACATAACACTTTGTTGGCAATTTACAGATTAAACAAAGATATATTTATTATCACACAATTTGTATGGGCTGGGAATATGGGAATGACTCAACTAAGTCTTCTGCTTAGTCATACAAACCTATAATCAAAGTTTCGGCTCTTCTGCATTCTTATCGGGAGCCTTCACTGGGGAAGTTCTGCTTTTAAACTCTCAAATATTTTTGGCATGGTTCTTTTCTATGTGCCTGTAAGGTAGAAAGCCTGGCCATTTTGGTGAGTATTGGCTGGAGCCTTCCCTCAAGTTGCTTAGTACTGCAGCAAGATGGTTACAGTCCTTTGTCCTGTGGGTTTCAACATGACCACTTAGTTCAGTCAAGACAATGAGTGGAGTCTCTAGAACTTTTTTTGGCATAATGTAATCATATAAATGAAATCCCATCACCTTTGCATTATTCTTTTTCTTTGGAATCCAGCCACAGCTGCTGTATATCCAGACGGCAAGGAAGCCTGTACAACAAAATGAATACCACGAGGTAAGGATCATTAATAAATGCTGATACTAATACTAATAATTGGTCTTTTACAGAAGCTGTCAGTATACAACATGTAGTTATGAAGTTTATTTGACAACAAAATTTCTTTAGAATATCAAATTCTTAAGTATATTTTTAGCATTGTATATTATATGCATATAGCCATATATGCTTACTAGGTATATTTTGGGGAATTCTGGAGACTACTAGTAAGTTAAAAGTACTGTCGTACTTGATGACATGTATGTTTTGTTAGTAAAATTATTAATTTTCATCACTTATTATTTCTTACATTCTCATTAGCCTCTTTCTTATTTGTGTATCTTTATTTTTTGATGTTTCCACACTATTAGAAAGTGCCTAAATCATTTTCTGAGAAAATGAAAATAATTTAAAAGTACTCTTTATTAAACTGATGAGAGCTGTTCACTTAGGTTTTTAGCTGTTTAATTCTTTGGTTTTTTTTGAGAAAGGATCTTGTTATGTAAACTGGAGTGGCTTGATCTCACAATCTTCCTCTTGGTCTCTCAAGTGCTTGGATTATAGGTACCAGGCTGGGATTCTACTTCACACTTAATGTGGGCAAAATGCCGGATTTTTTTTTTTTATCAAATTAGAGGTTTTATTTTTAAATAAAATTTTATTTCCTTAGGTCATTTTGAAAATAGTCTTGTCTTCAAATGAGTTAAAATGATTTGGGTTTTAGTAAGCACCAGTGAATTCTATGGTATTCTATAGATGGATATTCTTACATTGAAAACCTGCCCTTTGAAGGCTGATGAATTAGGAAAATTTAGGTGTTCTGTTTGTGACTGGGATGATTCCCAGGAAGCAGTGATGTCTTTTGACTCATCCCGATTCATTTTATTTCTAGTTCCTCCAGACTAACAGCTTCATGATAAATTAGTCATAAGATGGTATGACTACGATGTAGCCAGTAGCTAGGTAACAGAAGAAAGACAAAGTCGTAATTTTCTTTTTGTATAGATATTCCTTTTGCTGTACATAACTGTTTATATATAGATGAATTTGAGAATCACTTTATTGTAAAATTTTAGCTATCAGAATGCTGTCTTCCTGCGTTTTACATCGTTTGTTGAAAGTTGATTGTTAATGACAAATTTGAGCTAGTGTTTTTACATACCACATTTCCCAATCTGTTGAACTAAGGCATAAGACAGTGGTGCCATATACAAAAATTGGGAATCCTGGGTGGAGAACTAATGTAAAATGGCTCCCTGATTAAATTTTATATTGGTTATTTTTCCTTGTTCCTTTGCAGTTTGCCTTTTTCAACATTGTATTCTTAGAGCCATCCACTTGATAATGAACACTTAGGAATTAGCTTCTTTGAATTGGCAAAACGTATCGAAAGAGTCATCTGATTTTTCAAAAGTTTCAGTAGTTCTTACTTCTTGTTCATGTGTAATCTTTTATGTCTTGTCTATAACTGGTTGAAGGACACACAGATTGTGTACAATTTACAGCATTTGCTAATAAAGCTGTTCAGTTTTATGCATATACGTTTTCTAGCATGAGTCTTAGAGAAATGTTCTTCCACTGTTTGCTGGAATCTAATTTCTCACTCATGGTTAGTCTGAGTTTTGAGTATTGGTTAATATTGTAGTTCAGTTTTCAAAGATGTTCTTTGATTATGATGTTGTAGTCCCTTTATGTACAAGTTTGTTGTTGAAGCCAGTTCTTGCATTAGTTCAAACCTAGAATCAAGAAATACCTCCATGTAATTTCTTATTAATTATCTGCTTTCCAGGGGGCTTTAATACTGTTCCTCCAGCCAGAAATAGGATTTTCTTTCAAAGCCCTAGGTCCCATATCTTTGCACTGTTGGAGTTATTCTTGTGGTGACAAAGACAGTGAATAAAAGAGGCTTACACCTATACCTTTCTTATCATAGGAACCTATTTTCTTGCTTCATCTGATGAGAGATTATTTTTCTTTTGACTGGTACATGCCTTAGTGTGGTTGGAAAATGGAAAGGTAAAAGTGTGGATAAATTTAGAAAGTTAGTATTATCCTTATGCTAACAACCTCAGAAGTACATCCTTCTTGGGAAGTTTTGTTTAAGGCTATAGTGGAGGGGTTCCATGACTCAGTCTCCCCACAGGCCAAAGTCAGAATACAGGTAGAAAATCAACTCTTGAGTTGTTTTGCAAATTTTGTTATCTTTCCCTAATGTTACTGTTTACTTCCCAGAGTCCTATGATTTCTTCTTTAGTGTTCTCTCTCTCTCTCTCTCTCTCTCTCTCTCTCTCTCTCTCTCTCTCTCTCTCTCTCTCTCTCTCTCTCTCTCTCTGTCTCTCTCTCTGTGTCTCTGTCTCTGTCTCTCTCCGTCTCTCTCTGTGTCTGTGTGTGTGTGTGTGTGTGTGTGTGTGTGTGTGTGTGTGTGTGTGTGTGTGTTTCCCCTCACCCTCTGTCTTGGTTTTACGAAGTAGGGGTTTCTCTGTGTATCCGTGGCTGTCCTGGAACTCACTATGGCCTGGCCTTGACCTCCGTATATATACCTGTCTCTGCCTTGAGTGCTGGGATTAAAAGCCTGGGCCACCACAGCTTGGTTTCTTTATTATTCTAAATAGGATGTTTAGTTGGTAATCAAGGGAAAGGTTAGTTTATTCTGTTTTTGGTATCACTAGTAGCTTTATTTAATCCATCCTTCCTTCAGTTCATCCATCTAGTTTTATTTTTCTGTAATCTCTTACAAATGGGCATTGGTTAAATTCCTTTTCATTTAGACCAACTAACTGTTATTTAATTTGCAAATTACTCAAATCAGTAAATGATATTTTTTGTACATTTTCTGCAAAAGGCCAAACAACACCTTGTAGTTATAGTATCTCTGTCCAACTACTTAACTTTGCTCTTCTAATGTGAAAGCCATCATAGATGATATGCAAACAAATGAGTGTGACTGCATTTCAGTAACATTTCTTCAGGAACATGCAGCTAACCTGATTTGGCCTATGGGTCATATTTTGAAGATCCTTGATCAAAGCTCCTTATATTTACTTCTTTAAAATTAGTGCTTGAATACATGTAATTATCCACAAAGCTTTGCATGTAAAAAATGTCTCCAAAGCTGCTTAAATGTCCTGTAATTTAAACTTCTTTCTGAATGATCTTATGAATTTAAAATTGAGCCATACACATTTCCCATTGTATATTCATATGAAATTTTTTCTCTTCTAGCATTCTTTAAATATAAGTAAGGTAGATGTCTGTGATATTTATTTTTATGTGTAAGGTCATCAGTCATGGCACAGCCTTAAGAAACATGTATTGAAACATAAAGCTCTGAAAAATTATTGATTTAAGGACAATGTGTGATTGTTATTCATAAATTTACTTTTCTAAATAACTTCTTTGTACCCTTGACCTTTAGTTTTTCAGTAACATTTTAGATTGTGAAAGGAAATGCCTAGGGTTGCATTTTTCTTAGTTATTATTCTCATATTAATACCACTGAAATTCACTTTTTGAAAAATGTTTTTCAGGTAAATGTTCCTAAAGTGGTTGACGAGCCAATGGAAGAGGGAGAACCAGAACCTTGCCTGGTAAGTACGCATGTTAATTTGTTTTGCAGCATATAAAGAAAGAAAACAATTGGAAAAGAATGTGTGTGTGTGTGTGTGTGTGTGTGTGTGTGTGTGTGTGTGTGTGTGTGTGTGTGTGTGTTGGTAATAAATGTAAATTCTTTGAGATGGTCATTGTGGTCCCAGCTGTCCTCAGACTTAGTGTACCTGAGGATACCTTGAGTTCCTGATGCTCTAACCTCTGCCTTCTCATTTCTGATGTTTTAAAAATATTTTTTTTATGCATACACTAGGTCAATATGACAGCTCCATCCTTAGCCAGTGATTTTTTTTGATGAGATGAGTCCAGGGTCATTGTAAGCATTTAACACTTCTGCTTCAGCCTCCAAAATACTAGGATTACAGCACTTAATCATAAAACCTGTGTTGGAAATATACAGGCCATAAGAATACTAATTTTAAATATAACAAATGGCATTCTATTTGTTAGTATATAAGAAATGTGGGTATTTAAATACAGTATCCCCTGGATTAAACTAAAAGAGATTATCTTCAACTTCAGAATAGAAAGGAGATATATCTTTAACATAATTGGATTATAAAGATAGCTTGAAATATTTAAAATCCATTTTCTAGCTTTCAGGAAGGATGGAATTTTAAAGTATTTCAGAAGTCTCTAACTCGTTTTAAAGATTGGTTTCCCATTAGGTAATTGTATTTAAGGCCTGTGTAAAAGACATAATCTATAAGATCTAAGTTTTGTGAAAAGTATTCTTAAGATTTTATGGAAGATCAGACTATTATAGACATTTTTATCAATGTTATGGTTTCATAGTTACCATCTTTTTAGGTATTTTCACATTCATTTTATTTAGGAAGAACTTGAAATAAATTAATTTTTTTTCCTTTACAGTATAGATTTGTTTATTAAGGTTTAGAGAGGTTGGGGTTTTTAGCAGATGACTAAGACCAGCACATATTAGAATCTATCTCCTGTTAGGTGACAGTATGGTATAGATAAAAATACCATTCTTTTCTTATGTAGTATTGGAGATAGTCAGTAAATACCTTATGAAACATGTCCGTCAGTAAATTTATCTCCTTTAGAAACCAGCAGAGGACCTGAGCTTGTGGGAGCTCACAGACTCTGGACACACAGCTGGAGAGATTGGACTAACCTAGGCCCTCTGTATCTGGTGACAGTTGTGTAGCTTGGTCTTTTGTGGGGCCCCTTTGCAACCCATTCTTTATGGTAAGAAGCCTAGCTCAGCCTTGATGCAAGGGGACAGAGCTTGGTCCTGCCTTAACTTGATATTCTATGCTTTATTGACTCCCATGGGAAGGAAGCCTTACCAGATGTGAATAGAGATGGAGGAAGAGTGGAAGAGGGTGGTAAGAAAGATGTTGGGGAAGGGGAAACTGGTTGGTATGTAAAATAAATAAAAAATGACGAATAAAAAAATCGTCATCTATTAGCTGGGCGTTGGTGGCATACGCCTTTAATCCCAGCACTCAGGAGGCAGAGGCAGGTGTGTTCCAGGTCAGTCTGGTCTATAGAATGAGTTCCAGGACAGCCTCCAAAACAATACAGAGAAATCCTGTCTCGAAAAACCAAAAAAAATTGCTCTCTATTAAAAAAATAAATTACATTAGGTGATAAGAATGCAGTGGTGGTAGTCAGTTTTCTTCCTATTCAACTTTTTTCAAAATCTCAAAAAGCCTTGTACTACAAATGTGCAAAATTCTCTGATGAATTATCACAACTCAGTACTATTGGACAATTACTATTAGGTGGAATTTATGCTTCATAATAAAGTAATAAAGATTATATATAAAAGTTTAGCAACTTAATTTTATAGATATTTTGTCTTTTTGTAAGGATCTTATGTGACTGAGATCTGAAATAGAGGTTTTATATCCATTTTATAGATTACAGGACCAAGACTGATAGAATTAGAATATACCAACCTAAGTAAGAATTAGTTTGCTGTCATCTCTGTGCAGTCATTGGAATAAAATTGTATAATATTAAGTATTCTGCAATTATTTTCCAATGTGTTCATTATTTTGATATGTTTACTTCAAGCTAGTAGCGCTCTGTTATTTACATTGTTTACATTATTGTTATTATTGTTAGCTTTTGTTCAAAGAACATTGATACTGGCATGCTTTTATTGACACTGCAGTATTCTCTGCATGTTCTTCTGTGTCTCCAGGTGTGCCTTAACAAATCCACAACAAAATGGCTTCATTTGGAATGTTAGAGTTTTTTCAACTAAAATAGTTTTTCTGCCTTGAAATAAAACAAATGCTTGAACAGATGGATCTTGCATTATTATATAAACCCCAATGTATTTAGTTTTTAAATATCCCTCTTTTTTGTTTAGCCTTTTGTTCTGGAGGCTAGTCTTATAGTCATGTGAAGCTTCTATATTTGAGGTATAATAGACTGCTACCAGATTGTCATCATCTTCTTTTCATCCTAATAGTTGATCTCTTCCCCATAAATAAACCAGTTGTCAAATGAATGAAAACAGTCGTGTATTTGATTGTTTTGTGCTTCTCAGTGCATTTTTCTAGTGTTAGAGCATTCTTGGCTTCCTTTATTTAAAACAAAAGTGATCAGAATATAGAAGTTCTGGTTTGGCCTTCTTAATTTTTTTTAATATTAAATATACTTTAGAGTTTTGAAGAAACACTTGTGCCTCAGATTTGTCATTTAATGTGGAAAGTGTAGTGAACTCTGTTTGGAAGTTATTAAATTTTTATTTTACAGTAACAATTCGTTTTCACAGATCAACTAAGAATAGGCACTGTATATATTTTCTAGGACTGCCCTAACAAAGGACCACAGACTGGGTTTTCTAAACATCAGAAAAATTAATTTTCTCACAATTTTAGATTCTATTAAGTCTGACATCAAGGTGTTGGCAAAATTGATTTTTCTGAGGCCTTTCTCCTGAGTTTGTAGATGATCTATGGCTTTATACCCTCCTGCGCTCTCTCTCTCTCTCTCTCTCTCTCTCTCTCTCTCTCTCTCTCTCTCTCTCTCTCTCTTTCTCTCTGTCTCTCTCTCCTTCTGTGTGTTTGTCTGTGTGTCTGTGTTGTGTATGTTTGCTTGCACAACCTTTTTGGGTATAAGATTATCAGTCATTTGGGATTAGGGCACAGCTGTATGATTTTTTTTCTTAATTATCTTAAAATATCCCTAATACAATAATACTCTGTTGAACGTACCACTCTTGAGAGTATATATCTGGCTTTCTGTGTTATTGATGTTACTTTAGCTGTCAAGAAGCCAAGCTCATTGGGAAAATTCTATTGTCCACTGTAGGCACAGCCACCATTGATTAATCAGAGAATCAAAGGGCCAATGGATAGAGAACATTTGACTTGGGACATTGTAGAACTGAAGCTTTGTGTCAGTTTCATTTTCTAGACAGTGATGGGGTTGGATCAGAGCTTATCCCCTCAGCTTTGCTACTTTGTGATAGGGAATTCATACAGATTAAAAAATTGTTAGTTACTATGCTTTCCCATAGGGACTACAATTATAACTCACTGGAGTATAGTCATAACACCTGAGAGGTGTCTTCTATTATGGAGCAGAAATATTCCCCAGGAGAATTCCTTTCTTTCTTACATAGATGGTAGGAAACTTGTATATCATTTATATTCCAACTATTAATAAAAGTTCATGGCATTGGAACATTTTTGAGTTCTGTAGTTATATTTTTGTGAGTATCATTTGCATTGATCTGGATATTAAAATACTTAAAAATATAGCTAATTGCTATTCAAAAGGACCTTTGATATTTTTATGTTTGCCTTCTCACAATTTGCAAGGTTTATCTTTACTTTCTCAGTCTCTGCCTCTTAAGTTGCACTTCAGGGAGGAGCTTAAGTTTCTTAGTTCTTCAACTGACTAGAGTCTGTTGAACCCCAGGTAATACATGTAATCTACAACACACTCTCTACACATGAGGTTCAAATGACACCATGAAAGAATGCTTGGAAAGAACATAAGAGTCAGGGGACCACACTGGCTGATACAAGATAGTGTTCTCTGTATAGGACAGGGAAGCTGCACCCATGAAATTTCAACAGTAAGGTTGCATAAGCAAGACCTAAACAATGATAACACTAATTGACATGCCATATTGGATGGTAGAAATCTCACAAGGCCCCACCCCTCGATGAAGTGCTAAGGCAATTAATGAATACTGAAGAAGAGAATAAGTCTCCCTCTCCCAGATAAGATTCCTAATTGATTATCCAATGCAAAGTCATCAACCCTAACAATATATATGTATATGGGCAACACTAGATGGACTCAAGAGGTTTATTTATATACGTATATATGTATTATAGTAAGCAGGGTAGGGGATACATAGAAGAAGTTGAAGGAAGGATGAGGGTAAATACAGTAGTCATCTAAAAATCATAAGTAAAAAATAAAATTAAAAATAAGTCTTAGTTCTTAATACTATTATATTATTGTTATTTACTTGTAAAGATGCTGCATAAATTTATTTCACATGCTTTCATTTACATGAAATTATATAGTAAGAACTGGGCTTGGTGGCACATGAATGTAATCTCAGTACGTAGAAGGCATAGGCAAGAGAATTGCCAAAAACTTGAGGCCCATCTGATTCATCCACATAGCAAGACTGCCTCAAACGAACAACAACATCACTACCAAAAAAACCTACCAAGAAAAGAAGTGAAATTATATCTATGTGTTATATCAGGAGAGGGGAATAAGTCAATCAAATAAAGTGTTAGATTGATGGGGTTTCTTTTTGTATAATTGTGTGATTGTTTTGAAATGGAACTAATCACAAGATGTTAGAACTGCACGTTAGTATTATTTGGACTTTTGTTTTACAGGATGAGGATGTTAAAGAAATCCCCATTACAAATCATGTTAAAGAAGGATATGAGAAGGCAGATCCTGCACAGTTTGACTTGCTCAAGGTTCTTGGTCAGGGATCTTTTGGAAAGGTAATAAACACTTTTTCCTGCATTTGCTCTTCTTCTTGATATTTAAAAATATGTGTACACATGCATAGAAATCATTTCTAAGGCTCTCAAAGGATGCAAAAATAACTGTTTAGTTTTACATGCTGTATTTCTTTATATTCTTCTATAGTAGTCAAGGTTTTCTAACTCCCTTAGCTTGTATTTCTCTAGGTAAAAAACATGGCATGTTCATTGTTGGTTGTCTAAATCACATACTTGATTTTATGAAGGTATTCTATATGTCATTTTTCATGTTCACTAACATAGCTGTCTCCCTGTGATTTCTCTGTTTCTTAACTCTTTATGAGAATTTAGAATGTATGCTCTAATTTATGTAATAAAATCAGGAACTAACCCACCATTTCTTACAGTAAAGTAGAACTAGCATAGATGATTTGGAAATGATGTGAAATTCTTGCTTTGAAGCATCCTAGAGGAATATTAGTTCATGTGTTATTTATTGTATTTGTTTATTAAGTATTTGGTAATATGTTTTTTCAAAAAGGAAGTATGTGGTTCTAGATCCTGTAGCGTGTATACCTAAAATCTAAGACATGAAAATTATTGGATCATACAGTAAGTAATAGCCTTTAGGAAAACAGCTGCAATTTGTGGAGAGGAAGACAGGAGAAATAAAATACTACAGTAGCTGAAATTTAGTTACAGAGAAATATTTAGGTTATTGGACAGTGATTACAGAGGTTAAGACATTTGTAAGGAAATATATTTACTGAGTACTCAGTTTGTGCACAGTAGTTTTATGAAATATATTGGTGAGTATAGACTAGACATTATTTGAATGTAGTCTGGTATCTATATGGTATAGAATATATGAAATACATAGAAATGTTTTTAGGACACAAAAGGCAAACTGAGATGACTTGTGCTTTGTCAGTGAATGGCACAAGGTGATTGTGGTGGATGATCTTGGTTATCAACTTCACACACCTGAAACGAAGAACCTCAGTTCAAACCCTGCATCCATCAGTTTGGCCCATGCCCCAATGTTTGTAGGGTATTATCTTAATTGATGGTTGGTGTAGGAAGGCCCAGCACATTGTGGGTGGTTCCATCACTGGGTAGGTAGGTGAGTGTGTTCTATACAAAGAAGGTAGCTGAGCAAGGCAGAGGAAGCGTGCCGGTGAGTAAGTAGCATTCCTACACGGTCTCTGCTTCAGTTCCTGTCTTGGGCTCCTGCCCTGGCTTCACTCCATGATTGACTGTAATGTGTAAGCCAAATAAACCCTTTAACCTCAACTTGTTTTTCTGTCATGGTATCTATCACAGTGGCACTAAACAAAGCCAGACAGGGATAAAACTTGAAGGATAGGATAGAAAGAAAAACTAGAGGGGCCTATTAATAGATTGCTGGTATTAGTAGAGGAGGTATTATGAAACTAAGTTGTAAATTAGGAATATGTTCTATATAATTTTATTTTTAATGTTTCTGAGAAATGTGTTAATCCAGAACAGAGTTTTTTATATCTCAAAGTATAAATGCTTAAATATTTGACATATAAAATGATACCACAGAAACATTTCAAGTTATTAAAAGTTTCGTTATTTAATATATAATGTATATAGGTATATTCATCTCTGTATTTCTTGCTTTATTTCATAAATAATTTCACAATTCCATAGATAGACAACAATAAAATAGAAAGCAAATAGCATAATTGAATATGGTATTGTTTGCCTATAACACTAGCACTCAGGCACCTGAGGAAAAAAGGATGCATCTGAGGTTGAGGCCAGTCTGGGGCGCTACAGTGTTGAGCCTAGCTTTGGTACATAACGAGACCCATTCTCAAAGAAAACCAAAAATGAAAGGGAGGAGAAAACAGCAAATAGACACAAACAAGACTAAAAGCAACTGGCACTGTAGATGGAAATAAAGATCAGAGCAGGAAAGATTAGAGAAAGCCTAGAATACACACTGTTGTTTACAAATGTATAACGTAGGGCCTAGAGGCCTTTCTCAAGCAGGCCAGAAATGACATTGGCAGCCATCTTAAAGAAGCTGACATATTCAGTTTCATTAGTATTAATAATATCTGTAAGATAGAAACATATTAAACAGACCAGATAAAAATTTTTATTGCACTTCATAAACGATAATGTATAACAAAATGAATTTTTCTCAGTAACACCTTCGTGTTAAATATAATAACATGCTAGCAAGTTGTTGGTGTAGTCCTTATGAACACTTTGTGCATAAAGGTGTCTTAACAAAGACCCTTTTTGAATTCATAGTACTAAAATACAGAATTGTGCAATTTGTGTTGTTCATCAACCAAAGATATTAAGAAGGTAGCTTTTGTTATGCTTCTTAAGATGTGAGCATACTTGCTTGTCGGTGTTGCATCATTTGTGTAGGCATTGTGTGGGTATGACTTGTTATATGCTGAACATATTCAAGAATGTGGCCAAGACTGTGAATCAGATATGTGTAGGCCCAATTCCAAGAAAGTTAGGGTTGTACAATCTTAAGTTTTTCATCAAAGGTTCCACTGCTAAAACATAAGCAATGGGAATTTTAGATCTTGTGAAATTGTATGACATTAAATGTTTTAGTCTATTTAAAGGGAACAAAATCCAGCTAATGCCAAAGTAATATAAAAAGTGCACATTAATGAAATAAGGTTTAATGAAATGCAGATTAAAAGAACAATTCAAAAAATGTTATGAAGCAGAATTGGTTCATTGAGAAGGTAAACAAAATGAACAATTATTTAGTCAAATGTTTAAATTGGGTTCTTAATTGGTCTAGATAATAAAAAGCCAGAGTCAGATAGAGGGAAATGCTAAGTGATCAGAGAGAAGGAGAAAGCCATAGCCACACCTTACCTCCTTAGTGTCTCCAGCAGACATGAGAGAGATTTCTTGTTTCTCCCTGATATATCCTGTTACTGCCCAGCTACCTCACTTCCCGTCTGTCTGTACAGATCTCCAGACCTCTATGCTTAGCTAGTAGTAAGCTCCATTCTCTGACCCCCCCCAGACAGGCTTTATTTGTTCAAGTAAGATATCACTACACAAACTAACCAGTAGAAATATAGAGAAGTCCCAAATTGATAAAGGTAGAAATGATAAAGGGGACAACAAACTACTGAAATTCACAAACTCATTAGATAATGCTTTAAAAATTTATACTTATAAATTGAAAAATCCAGAAGAAATGGATAAATTGACATATAACTTACCAGAATTAAACCAAGAGTACAAACAATACAAATATACCTATACTAAGAATGAGAAGCATTGATAACAAATAAAAAGTCCAGTACCAGATGTACCTTATGTTTTCACTCATATGTATAATATGTATGTGTTTATATATAGAGAGTAAAATAAGAGGGTAAAGGGAAGGAAGAAGCTCAAAGAGAGGGGGGGATGTTGAAAAAGAGTGAATAATAAAAGATATATGACATGAAATCCAGTGAAGAGAACTTCTTGAGTGGACTGAGGTCTAGCAAGAGCCAGTGGGGATGGAAAATGCCAGAGTACAAGTGAGTAAGAACAAGTCATGCTATGTATGTATGACGATGTCATAATGAAAGCTTTTATATACTGTGTAAAATATAGAGAAAGTTGTATTTTCACAAAAGATATTTGGGCTACTCTGTAGTGATCATGTGAAGTATAATGCTACAAATGACCACTAATAAATGGTAGTAACCAGAATATTCTATTATTTTAAAACAAACAAAACAAAAATCTGGCATTGTCAGACTTGATTGTGTAGCATAGGCCAAATCACTTATACAGTACATATATTCATGGATTATTAAATATTTCCTTTTGTGATAAGCATTTAAATATAGGAGTTTTGAACATTGAACTTTTATTTTTATATAATTGATCAATTGTCAAGTGATAGTTTTAGAAACACATGGTTGTGTGTTGAAATTTCTCTGCAATCAACATTTAAATATATGTGATCTAATTCACTTCCAAGTGTTTATTGAGTACTCCTTAATGGACAATATAAAAGTCCATGTGATTGAGAGACAAATACTTTGAATTAACTCACTCTTTTCACAGGTTCCCACAGTCTAATGTAACTAGAAATACAGTAGCTATATTTGTAGTTGATTGTGAGAAGATATAGGTTTTCTCCTGTTGGAAATAGCACACTATGAAATTAGAAAACAGTCACTTTTTCCGATTATGAATGATGACATCTTTTCTTTGACATTTAGGAATAAGAGGGAACAGTTGAAGGACTATAAGAAATGACTATTTTGCACAACATTTTCTTCTTGAAGTATGGGCTCTTTTATCCTTTCTTAAGTGCCTTTTCCTTTATATGCTGTTCTTTGCAATACCATTAATGACTGTGTTCTACAACAGTAGTTCTCAGAGGTGTGGTCTGTGTCTCTAGGCATTTCCAAATCCTTTCAAGGGTTCCTTAGGTCAAAACTATCTCATAATAATCCTATATTTATAGAACTGCTGTACCCTGGCACAATAAAGGTAGAAGCTCCAAAGAGTACATTTGTCATTGAGGTTTTTACTGCCTCACCCTTAGTTGAAAAATGTCCTTGATGAAATATAATTAGTCATTTCCTTTATTATACTCAACCATTGAATTCAAATCTTTTTAACATTCTATATTGAATTGAAAATATAATAAAACATTTTAGGTGCAGCTCAAATAACATTTTTTTCAAAATAGAATACAAGTAAACATTTTTGAATTGTGAGGTGAACTGGCCATTTTTTCATGGATCACTGTTTTATATATTTTTATCAAGTTTTTGAGAGTTTCATAACAATTTATTCTACTCATAATCACTCCACTGTACCAATCTTCCCAGATCCTTCCACCCAACTTCTGAGTTTTTCTTGTTTTTTTTTAACCCATGGAATCCAATTTGTGTTGTTCAATTACTCTTGAGAGTGGAGTGTGCCCTAGAATGTGATCATCCTACTAGGGGATCGCTCCATTAAGGAAAACTGACACTGACTATCCATCTCCTAGTAATCAAAGGCCCCAAGACTCCTAAAGCTAGTGGTGGGGCTACATGCTCAGCTCCCATTTTGTGTGCTGGGATTTTCTCTGGCTTGAGCTTGCCCCAGTCTTGTGCATTCTGTCACAACTGCCGTGAGTTCATATGTGCAACTGTCCTCTTGTGGGCCACTATTTGTACTAGAAAAAGATGAGTTACAAACTGTGAATACTTGAATTTGAGTACTAATAGTTTTTATTGCTTTTATAAAAAATGAATGGTATGATTCGGTTTCATAGAAAATAGTACTGTTCATATTCTTGTCTGCTAAAAGTAAAAGTTTGAAGAAAAAAAGTAGATTATTAAATTTTTTTAATTTATAAATTTTGTCATAAAAAGTCTTGTAAATAAATATGCCACATCAAAATTAGTCAGAGTGAGTCTATACAACAAAATCACTTATGTACAGTGTATTAAATTCTAATTAGCATTTGAAATGAAGCCTGCAAAGCTTTACATTAAATCTCTGTTTTATTTTGTTATTAATCTCTTAAACCACAAACTTATTTAAATCCAGTAAAAGGCCATCTACTTATACAATTTTCCTTTTTAAAGTGGGATATATACAGAGTTTGATTTGCTGGATTAAGGGGAATATAAACAAACATAAAGTAACTAATATACATTATAGCATAACTACAGTTGTATGTGTTTAGTAACAAAGAAAATTATAAGGGAAAATGTATAATTAGTGTGTACAGAACAAGAATGCCTTCAAGATTCGAAGGAATAGTAGTGGGGTGCTATGGCTGGATTTGAAGGGGAGTTACTGAGGGGCTAAGCTTGATACAAACACATTATATACATGTAATGCTTGTGCAAAATCCTCAACAACTTATAAAAGAAATAGGCTCCTCGTGTGTGTGTGTGTGTGTGTGTGTGTGTGTGTGTGTGTGTGTGTGTGTGTAAAGGAAACAGGCCACACATTTGAAAGAGACCAAGGAGGGGTATATGAGAGTGTTTGGATGGAGGAAAGGTGAGGTTGAATTGAAGTAATTATAGTATAATCTCAAAACAAATTAAAAGTGTATGATTTTATTCCACCTTTTATGTTTTTTAGATATTCATTCCTTTATTATCATCTGTCAATTACTATAGTTTCTAATTCTTCTCTATGTAACTTAGTACAGCTTTAATAACCTTAACAAACAAATTATATAAGAACTAGATGTTGGGGAAGACTGCTATGAAACAGTATTTTCTGGATATGACCAGACTGATCCACTCATGAACTCATAGGAACTGTGGTTGTCATTACAAGACTTGCATAGAATCAAGCCAGTCAAAATTCTACAGGGATAGGATTGGGGAGGGTCTGTTTTGTTTAGTAAGTTGCTCATGTTCTCTTAGTAGGCCCTTAACCTATGCACATGCTAGAAGCACTAATTGGATTAATTTCAGTATCTAACATAACCTTGATAGAGATATGATGGCAATGGGACAAATTGGGGAGCATAGTATAATACTATAATCAGAATAATATAATCAGCATAGTATAATCAGAATACATTTTATGAAATTCACAGGAATATATAAGAAAATGCATTTAAAGTGATGAAGTGGATTGAACTGAAATTCACTTAAAATATTTCTTCTGTTAGGTTTTTCTTGTTAGGAAGAAGACTGGTCCTGATGCTGGGCAGCTCTATGCAATGAAGGTGTTGAGAAAAGCTTGTCTAAAAGGTATTAAATTAAAAAGACTATTAGAACATAATTTATAAAACTCGTTTTAAGAAACACTGTGTGTTGCTTGTAAGGGCAATAGTTAGAGTTGTTTTTCAGCATTGTTCATTACTATGGTTTCCTAGTTATCAATTGATACTTCTGAGTTCCTTTATTGTCATATAACTTAGTTTGCTGAATGTATACCTGAATAAAATGTTTAATGTCAGGAAATGTGACATATTTCATTAAATTCAATCTGAACTTCAACATTTTTCAAATGTTTACTCTTCTTTCAACATTATTATTTTTTACTGTTTTGTCTGGGTATTGCAATTTTAGAAAGCACAACTACTCCATCCATTTATATGCACCATCTTCTGAATCTATAAAATTAATACTGACCCTGACATGATGATGCCTGTAATCCTAGCTCTAGAGAGGTGGGGTTCAAGGTCATCCTCCACTGTATACTATATTCAAGACTAGCATGGGCTTCCTTAAACACAGTGAAAGAGAGAAGGAGGGAGAAAGATAGAGGACAAAGTCTACTACTAATTTTAGTTTAATTTCATATGAAAACTTGAACAACTACATATTAGCCAAATATGCCACTTTAGCCTATCTCTAGATCTAAACAAAATCTACTGTTTTCTGAAAATGGTTGCTAATATCTAGGACTACACAGACTTAACTACATTGGTTACTTATGAACTTATTTACGTATTTATATTTTGATTGGTAAATGACAGGTCTATACTGAGATTACTAACAAGTGTAACATTTCAATCTTGGTGTGATTTTAGTTCGAGACCGAGTTCGCACAAAGATGGAGAGGGATATTCTGGTGGAAGTAAATCATCCATTTATCGTCAAATTACACTATGGTATGCAGCCCTTCTTTTATTATACAATTAGAGAAGTGCAGTTTCAGATAACATGAAATAAATACTTGAAAAGTGATCCGATGTATTCAACAATATAGAGTATGTCTGAAATATGTATCAATAGCTAGCTTTTAGTTGAATTTCATTGTCTTACTCAGTTAAAGTAAAATGATAATGTCTTCCAAAATCCCATTAAGTATCAGGGAGGGAGGTCATGAAGACTCACCCCAAGTTGAGGAACTATTGTCAGTTGATGGCTGCTGGTAAAGAGTCAGTTTTCTTTAGCTATGCAATAGCTAAGATGGCCTGACATCTATGCACATACTAGTAACTCTATGTGGACTCTTAATTTAAAAATGAGCACATGAAACTGGGAGGGAATAGTGTTGAGAGGCTAAGGGTAGAATTGGAGAGTAGGAGATGGGGGTAAGTTTGTATATATGTATATGTATATATGAAAACACGTTATATGTATATATGAAATTCCCAAGTTATGAAAAATTACAATGTCTTCAACTTGTTTGATCAATAGTATTTCTAGTTGAGATGAGACAGTAACTCCAGTGATCATAGGCTTTGATGATAATTTATGTACAGCATTCACATATTTATTTACAAGGACAATATTATTTTTATTTTACAGTTCTAATCAAGTAGGCTATGTGGTTATATTAGTCAGCTTGAACTGTTCTGTTATAATAGGGAGGAAGCAAAATCAGTAAGATGAAGCAGAAATAATGTCGGGGGTTGAGTTTTGAAGTAGAAATTTATGAATTTGAATCATGTCTTCATTGTTCATATATTAAAGATGTTGTAGATATTTTGGGGGGGAATTAATTGGTCAAAATAAATCATGGATGCAGTTTCCATTATCATTTCATTCTGTGCATTTAAAATGTAGCACATACTGATTTTATTCTTAGTGTAATTTTTGACAGAAATTATTTTAAATATTTACCCAATTTATTCAAACCCTACAAGAAATTCTGACCCCTTTAACTCTTTTTTAATGTAATGGAATAGAGATAGTATTATAGAATATCTTTTGTGTCTCTTATATACCATGAGATTAATAGTAAACCACTATTGTGGCAAAATACTATATTAAATGAAGTGGGCTACTGAAGTGAAATAATCTCTGATTTCTCCTAATGTATAGAGAATAAAACTGCAAATGAATGTGTAAATGAAAGTGAGAGAAATACCACAAAAGGCATGAAGTACAATTAAATAGCAAAAGTATTATTAGAAAACTTTGATGGAAATTAAAGATGCTATAGGGAAGTGTGAAAAGTTGGGAGGCTTATTAGCGGAGGTGACCTTTTTGATCTTTGTAGAGTACAGTAGATATAATTGGAGACAAATTTCAGTCAACTGCACTAGAACAAGAAACTTCATTAAAAGGAAAATTTTTAGTGGTAGAAGATTGTGTAAAGTCACATGCAACATTGAATATGTTTGGAAAGGAATTTATAACTATTTTAGCACTTGATTAAATAGTGGATTTAAATTTGATACATTATCTAACAGTGGACCATGCTAATACATAATTATTTTATAGTATTTTAAAATAAAATTGTAAACATGTTAATAAACGTATGATAAATTTTTCAGTGTTACAACCTTATGATTTCTAATTAGCCTTTCAGACTGAAGGAAAGCTGTATTTAATTTTGGATTTCCTCAGGGGAGGAGATGTCTTCACAAGATTATCTAAAGAGGTGAGAATTTCCTTCTAAATTTGTTAGTATATTTTATTCCAATAAAGCTAAAAAGTCATGTAATTTTCCTGGAGACATTTAGAATAATAATCTTTAGTGATATGTCAGTTGATATTTTCTCTGTGTGTCTTTTAGATAATCTCAGTTTTCTTTTTCCTTGTCTCTGAGACAAAAACGCATTATGAATAACTAGGTGAAGTAGATAGGAGCAAGCCTAGGACTTTGGCTACTCCAGCTACCTAAATGACTGTTGGTGTAGTGTTTAATTACTTTATTCATTTAAAGTGGGCTTATTGAGCTTTAATTGGCATACAGTAAATGGTACAAAAAATTACACAATTTGATACCGTTTGTCTTTTCATGTAACTGTGAAATCATTGTTGCCAAACGTTTATAATATATTTTTCCCACTCTACCCCTACTGAATCTGCTGTCTGTCACTGTTTATGTTTTCTTATAGAGGCAAAATCATAATATAAATATATTCTTCTTGTCTGATTTAAATAATTATAGTTATTTTGACTTATCCATGTTGTAGTGTGTATCAGTTCAGTCACTCTTATTGGTGAGTAGTACCCATTATATGGATGTAACATGTTTTGTTTATTTACTTGATGAATGTTTGAGTTACTGCAGTTTTTGGATATTACCAATTAAGCTGCTGTAAACATTCATGTACAAATGATTGTTTTGACATATGTTTTCATTTCTCATGAATTAATATCTAGGAGTTTAATGGCTGGGTTATATGGTAGGTGTATGTTTTAACTTTAAAGGCACTGCCAAACTGTTTTCCAAAGTGCTTTGTATAATTTTTACACTCTCAACAGTGGCATGTAAGAATTTCAGTTGCTTTACATCCTTGCCAACACTTGGTATAATAAGTCTTTTTTTCTTTTTGAAAAGAATTTTGAACATCTGTTAAGTATATAGTGTTACCTAATTGTGGTTCTGAATTTCACCACATTAAAGACTAATGATGTTGGACATCTTTTCCTGCATTTGTTTGCTATCTTCTTTGGTAAAATGTTTAAACATTTTCCATTTTGAAATGAATTATTTGTTTCCTTATAAAAGTTCCAGAGTTTCTCATATAGTTTAGATGGAAGTCTCTCATCATATGTGTTGTTTTTAAATATTTTCTTCTGGTTTGTACTTTGCCTTTTAAATCTCATATCTTTTGAAAGAAGAATTTCTTAGTTTTGATGAATTCGTGTTTATAATTTACCATTGAATTAATGGTTTTTAATAATTCCACTTAAGAAATGTTTACCTAATTCTAGGTGAAAATTTCTCCTGCTTATTTTAGAGGATTCTGTAGTTTTATTTATTTTTGTATTTAAACTCACTTGGCTTTTTTTTTACATGTGGTTATGTAGGTATGTGCTGCAGTCTTTTTAAAATTGATAGAAGTATCCACTTCTAGCATCATGTTTGGGAAAAAATGATCTTTTCTTCACTGAATTACCTTGTAATTTCATTTAAATCAGATTTCATGTATGTGAAGGCCTATCTCTGCAAACTGTTCTGTTCATTGATTCATTTGTCTATCTTTATGACATTACCCCTCTGTCTTGATCACTGAATCTTTGTAATATATCTTGAAGTCAGTGATTATAATTCATGAGCTTTGCTTGCCTTGTGAAAATTATTTAGGATCTTGTAGGTCATTTGCATTTCTTTTAATTTTAAAGTCAACTTTTCACTCTTAAAAAAAGCCTACTTTGAATTTGATTGACATTTCATTCACTCTGGAGGTCATTTTGTACAAAATGGAAATTTAAAAATACTGACTTTTCTTTAAACATGGTTTCTCTTTCCATTCCATTAGCAGTTGGCTAATTTTAGCAATGATTATTTTCAGCATATAGGTCTTCAACATCTTTTGTCAGATTTATCTTTTAGTGCTTCCTGTTTCAATGATGTAAGTAGAATTGTTCTTTTAGTTTTAGTGTCAGTGGGAAAAACAATAGAGTTTTTCTATTTTGAGCTTGTATCTCATATTCTATTAGAATTACATCTTTTGGCTGCTTTTTTGTAGATTCAAAAGCTTTTATATTAATTACTTTTGACAAGGTGCTTTACTTCTTTCCACATTGGATATCATGTATTTATTTCTTTTAATAACTCTGTTAAAACTGGCTTGAGTTTTCATTCTAATATTTAAGAAATTTGATTGAAAGCAGACATTCTTGTCTGCTTAGTGATTCAAAACAGAGGGAAGCTTAATTTCACTCTAATACTTAAAGCTTTATATTTATGTGTGCTTTATTGGGTTGAATTACCATCTCTTACTAAGTTTTGGAGAGATGTTTTAATAGATTTTACATATTGCCACATATATTTAATTGAGACTTTTTCCTGATTATTTTATGAAATGGTCAATTAAATGAAGCATATTAATTTGAAATTAAATGGAGTGAATTAAATGAAAGTGAAATGGTAACCCAACCTTGCATTTGTGAATGAATCCCCCATAGACATCAAGTATAATTATTTAAAAATATTATTTTTTGGATGATATGTGCTAAATGTTTGTTATAAACATTTTGTGTTTATTTTCTTTTTAATTTTTCCCTTCTTTTTTTTGTTTTATGTGTATGTGTGTTTTGCCTGAATGTATGTCTGGGCATCATACTCAGGTAGTGCCAATGGAGGCTGCAAGAGGTTATTAGATTCCCCTGGAACTGTAGTTACAGATGGTTATGAACAGCCACGGAGGTGCTGGGAATCGAACGTAACTCCTCTGAAAGAGCAGCCAGTGCTTGTAACTGTTGATCCATCTCTCCATACCTGTAATTATTTTCATGAGAAATATTTATATTCTTTTTTTAAAGATTTTTTATTTTAATTGGAAACAAGCTTGCTTCACATGTCAATACCAGCTCCCCCTCTCTCTCCTCCTCCCCCAGAAATATTTATATTCTTGTTTTATGTTTTCTTCATGTATTTGTTGTGTCAAGAGTAATTCTAGCTTCATAAGTTGGATAGTTTTTTTCTTCAGCTATGCAGTAGAACTTATTTAAATTCAGTACTAATTATTAATAATGATTGATAGAATGTATGAAGGCAGTTTGTCCTGGTAAAGTATTTTGCTAAAAGAAGTTCTTTTTGGTAAGGTGTTTAACTAAAAATTCAATTTATATAATAGATGTAAGACTATTGTTTCTTTTTGATTGAGTTTATCTGCTAGCTTATGTCTTTCAAGGAATTTATTAGTTTCATCAAATTTGTAGCTATAGGTTTCATATTAGTTATATTGTTGTTGCTTTTGCTGTATTAAAATGCCATGACCCTGAGGAACTTCTGGTAGGAAGAATTTATTTTAGCCTGCAGTTCCAAAGGGAGAGCCCATAACGACAAGAGAGACATGAAGGCAGGGTTCCCACCCTAAAGGATTTCATCTCACAAACACTTAAATTTGGAAGTGGGGCAAGGCTGTCAAGCTCAAAGCCTGCCCTCAATGATCTACTTTCTCCAGTAATATTTCTTGTCCTAAATCGTTCATAACCTTTTCAAACGGTGACAACAGCTAGGGACTAATTGACAACAAATACATGAGCCGGTATGAGATATTTCTCATTTCCAGCACCACAACTGCTCATTATATTCCATTGTTATGTTTCCTCATAGCTGTTAGAAGCTTTGTTTATAGATGACTCTCACTCCTCATCGTGGTAGTTTATCTTCTCTTCTTTAGTCCGGCTTGGCGTTGCTAGAGGTTTATCGGTTTTCTTTTTTCTTTTTATAACACAAGCTTTTATTTTTTTTTGCTATGTTTCCATTTTTCCTTTCTTTAATCTTTATTACTACTTTGTAATTACCAGCTTTTTTTCTTTTCAGAAAGAGGTTACTGATTTGAAGCTTTCTTCTTTTCTAATGCAGCTATTTAGTGTTAGAAATTCTTACTGGTTAATTTTATTTTGTAATGTAGCACTTTTTCTTTGCTTTATGTTCTTTCTAATTTCCTTTGACTCATTTGGCATTTGAAAACATGGTATTTAATTTATGCATATTTTATTATTTTCCAGATATCTTTCTAATATTTTTTATAACCCAATAATACTGTAATTATACAAGATACCTTTCATGACCTGAATCCTCCAAAATTTGTTTATACTTAACTATATTCTTTATAACATTTGTAAATGCTCCATGTGTATATACGGAAAATATGTAATCTCTTGTGGGGTGGTTGAATGTTCATTAAATGTTTGTTAGATCAGGTTTGTTAATAGTGGTTGCTTTAGAAATTGAAAATTTGATACATAACTATGCATGTTTTTATGTTTTGGAAACACATGCAATCTTATATTATAATTATACATTTGTTTACTTCTTGAATTCAACCAAAGTTTTAAAGGAACTTTTTATGGATGGTATTCATCTTGACAAGAAAATGGTATCATTATTGATTTACTTTAATGATTTAATATTAGTTCTATTACTTTTAATAGAGCAGTATTAACTCAGTATACCTTTTTCTGTGTCTTCATTTTGAACTAACTAGTGTTGAAGTACATATGGCATCCATGATTTTTATCTAGCCTGAAAATGTGTAATTTTTAAATTGCAGTATTTGACTTACTATTTAATACATAATTTTATATTTTGATATGCTAGTGTTTAAATCTGCCAACTCAACTTATTAGATTGTAAGTATCATTTATTCTTGATATTTTCCAGCTTTCATGGATGAAATTTCTTTTTGTTTTGTTTTTTGAGGCAGGGTTTCTCTGTGGCTTTGGAGGCTGTCCTGGCACTTGCTCTTGTAGACAAGGCTGGTCTCGAATTCAGAGAGATCCGCCTGCCTCTGCCTCACAAGTGCTGGGATTAAAGGCGTGTGCCAACAGTGCCTGGTTTCATGGATGCATTTTAATCAGTTATTCTGTTACAATTTCATTTTTAATTCTGCTGCTAGCTTGTCAGTATTAACTAACATTTTGTTTTGTTATTTTGTAGTTTTTATGTTTTATAATATGAATTTTTAACTTGGGGTG